TGTTCGACGGGCAGGGGACGGGGTGCGATGCGCGGCGGGGCCACCTTGAAGACCTTCACGTTGGTAATGGCTGCGACAAATAAAGAGAGCAGTGGTGGTGAGTACCTGCTGACAAGTATACCGGATAAAGACTTGATACCCGCCACGATCATCTAGTGATTATTCGACAGCTAGCACGCAGGTTGCAGGATCGAATCCCGGCCATGGCGGCCACGTTTTCGATGGGGGCGGATATGCTCGAGGTCTTATCGGTGTGCAGTGCCAGAGCGTGCCGAATAGCCACAGCGCGAACCAGAGGACGAACAACACAGGGGTAGACTTAAGCGCTTGATCTGCGGGCTTAGGCTGTCCCTTTCTGTGGCGCGAACAGCAGTAACATTGGCGAATAATGAGATTGGCGAATAAGTCATTCGGGTACGTAGCCCTGTTCCAAGCGTCAACACATGACATAAGGGCTTATGCTCTTAAGTACCCAGTTTGTTTATGCGTTGCTGCCGAGTCGGCTGATGTACGCGAAGATGCGTAGATGCTATACTCACAAGCAGGTACCACTGGCGGGAGGGGAATGGTCGGGGCAGCGACGACTGGTGGTGCTGCGACGACCGGCCAGGCGAGGACTGGGGCGGCAGTGAGCTAATACTTGGCACCGCCAACTATGGCTTTCACTCCCTCTTGGGCAACGGTTTGGGCAGCGATAGTGGGATAGCGATAGGGGTGGTCTTAGCTTTGGCAGCCATAAGCCCCAAAGCGGAAATCTTCAGAGCAGAAGAGTTCGCTAGAGCAGTCTCGAAAAAAGAGACGGAATAGAGTGATTGAGTCGTTGAGGACTAAAAAGTGTGCCACCCCCTTGCAACGCCATGCCACGGAACCTATTTATGTATTTTCACTACAGCCCCTCTTTTTTGAGCATGACCGGAAGTGCTGTCGGCGTTAAATGAAACGCCAACAGCGCCAAGCCTTCGCAGTGGTGTAGTTTGCGAACTCCAGTCATCGCCATGCGCGCACATCCTGTTTGACAGCACTGCGCACTTGTCCATGTTGATGACTGGACGGGTCGCTGTTAGCGTTTCATCCGACGCTGATAGTACGTGGGCGACACGAAGTGTTTTAATGACGTACGCAACGCAGATCACTACTTAATTGGTCACTGAGCTTTCAGATACAGAACCGAGAAATTCGGCAGATCCCAGGTACCTGAGAATCGACGTTATGCGAAGCATGCGAATGGAAGGTGACGGTGTTGATGATGAACAAACTTTATTTAATTGGCAGAAAGATCCTTGTCCCCTTTCTGGTGCAAGAGGAGAAGGGAGGACCAAACCTAGACGACGGCCATGATCCCAAGGGCCCTGTTGGCGTCTTCGGCCTACCGCATCAAGCGGGCTTGTAATTGAGAGTCAGAGCTGAGGAGCGTGGCATCCCATCCACTCCGTCTGGAAATTCGCCTTTCATGGGAACCTGCGGACATGCCCATAAAATGTGCCTCAAGTTCGCCCTGTTGTGGCAAAATTTGCACTTGTCCGTATGAAGTTCTGGCACGCGTTCAATTTTTTATTGAGCGACACGTCAGGAAATGACGCTAAATATATGTACAAATGTTGCACGCACAGACATATATTGAAGAGCTGCAGATGTTTATATCCCCAGTTGTTCGCACTTTCGCAATGATGCCAGCTGAAACATGCGCATTAGCAACATCAGAAGCTGATATGAAGTGCTGATGCTCGCGAAGATGCTGGCCCTGGACACTGCTACATAAATCAACTTCAGCGCAAAGCAACTAACCACAATTGACGTTAACCCAACGTGACGGATTTATCAAAGGAGTATATATGTAATGTTTATAAAATTGGGTTGGCAGCACTGCAACCACTATTGACGTTTCCCGAAGATCAGCGTCTATTTGAAAAGTAGTTTCGAGACTGGTGTAGCTTTGTGGTAAAATACTTCATTGCCACGAAGAATTCTTGGGTTAGATTCCAGTTGGGACCCTGACATTTATTCTTTGCATTCGTTGGGTCGACGCTACCAATCTCGGGCATTTCTTAACGCTCGCGCGATTAAATTACCCATGTGTGTTCTTCGTGCTTTCCTGGGTAGATACTAAGTGTCAATCACCTGTGGGACATGTATAGCTGCCCGTAGGTATGTGCCACTGTCTGGCGGGAAGTGTTTGACGACGTACGTATACGCGACGGGATTGTGACATTATTCATGTTTTTACCAGTGCGTCATATATTCGTCAAACCATCTTACCCTCATATGGTAATCTTGCTTCACTCCAAGTTCAAGGGAGTGACCACGAGAGCACCTAAACGTAAGCGGCTAGATAGATAGATAGATAGATAGATAGATAGATAGATAGATAGATAGATAGATAGATAGATAGATAGATAGATAGATAGATAGATAGATAGATAGATAGATAGATAGATAGATAGATAGATAGATAGATAGATAGATAGATAGATAGATAGATAGATAGATAGATAGATAGATAGATAGATAGATAGATAGATAGATAGATAGATAGATAGATAGATAGATAGATAGATAGATAGATAGATAGATAGATAGATAGATAGATAGATAGATAGATAGATAGATAGATAGATAGATAGATAGATAGATAGATAGATAGATAGATAGATAGATAGATAGATAGATAGATAGATAGATAGATAGATAGATAGATAGATAGATAGATAGATTAGATACGCTCCAATTCGCCGAAGTTAGCTAAGAAATGCTTCGCATTTAGAACTTCAAAACCAAGATTCAGGGAGAAAGAAAACATTATGCAATCCGATACAGAACATATGTTACAACCACTAACGAGTAATATCCAGTTTAGTTATGTTATTCGTAATAATGACTTCAAACAGCGTTAGAAGCACACATTATGTATATATAGAGGTGCATAGCGCTTACCGTTCATTTATGTACGCGCAGTTCATACGTGTGTGCCTCTCACCACAGACTCACTGTAAGTTTACTTTGCGTGACATCCGTTCCATTGAACTCATTAAAGCACTTTTCACGCAAACAATTTTTGATATTGAACAACGAACTACTTCTTGTTTCATTATTATGTATTTCTCAAAATTTATATCTTTCGATAATCCTGAAGAACCACGCCCCACAACATGATGTAGGTATAGTTGGCTCACTTAATCTGTCACAATCACATTGTGGCTTTGGGACGTTAAACCACTACAATTATTAATTATTATTACTTACTTGACCCCCTTTTCTATTCCGCCGATTCCGAGCTGCCTCTGTCTGAACAGAAAAAAAAATAAACGGCAAAATAGAAAAAGCGAACGCCAACGTGCAAATGGCCATATAAATCGTAATAAATTAAATTACGCAATACTACGATGCGATAATGCAGTATCAGTAGGTAGGTCATTATTTATGTACTAGGTACAGGCCTGGTAAGCAGTGAGGCGGAGGTGTCACAGACGGGTGGTTACTGACCAGACGTTGTTAGATTATGCCAAAGCTTTGTTCATGTGGGCAACTGGAGAAATTATTGGTATTCTGCGTTCTACTGAAGAATACCACCACAGGTGTCTTGGATAATGCTCCCCCCTCTATATCTTCGAAATTTTTAGGAAGGAGTTGGGGGAATCACCGAAAATAAATAATGAAAATGCGCTTTCGTCTCAGATTGTCGAAACTTTCAGCTAGTCCAAACAGCCCCCCCCCCCCCCCCCTCTCTTTCCTGGTAAAAAAAAAGAATTCGAGGCTATGGGCCTGGTTCTTTGGCTAAATTGAAAACTCGGCTAAATTTAAGCTATAGAAGACAACGAGATGCTGCTGGTAATCTAATCGCTTGTAAATATTTGGCACAGTGTGGTTAATATGGTGTCATATACTCACCACCTACAGCCATTGCTTTGGTTTGCTTTCCTAGACACATGGCACGTACCCACTTTGGGGGATTGGCCAAGAATGCAACGTAGAGACTGGTAAATGTTATTTTAGGTACGCTATGAAATCTGAAACCAGAAATAAGGAAACATTCAATTCAACTAGAAGTATTCCAGTAAATACAGGTATTGAGCCTGTACTCCAGACTGCCGTAATAACATGACGGGAATAATTTTGAAGACTTAGATTTTTTCCTCTTCTGTCCTTTTCGCGATTGATTTTGTCGATGATGACCTTCACGACTAAAACACGAATAAAATGAGGCTTGAAAACGAAGCATGTATGGCACAGCTATTGAGGATTTCCCGAATATCGAATATCATGTTAACACTAATTTACGAACTTCGCGTCAAAACCCCCCGCAGGAAGCTGTCGGGCACTTTTACTTTTCCGAAAAAAGTGAATCATACCCCGAATCGTTTAAAGTATGCAATGCGTACAGGAAGGTTGTTTTATAATTTTTTCTATTGTCGTATATTTTTGCGATGTTTTATTTCTTTTAAATTATTTAGTACGTTTGTTGGCTGTTTTCTTGGCCAATCACCCCAGAGTATGTGCCATGGTACCCCAGGCACAACTTCCCGCGCTTTCGTCACTTTCATCGGTACGAGAGAATGCTGTCGCAGTGTGCAACAAATATTTGTACCTCTGCGCCTACTGGGCAGGTTCCAGAAATGTTCACGGCGGTGAACTGGGTGGCTGAGAAGGCCAACTTACACCATATAGCCCCTTATTGTTACTGTAAGTGCGGTGCATGAAAATTGCAACTAAGAGCGTCCACTCGCTGCAAGGGAAGAACGCAGATGTCAAACCGTGAAGGAGGGATTGGCCAAGAGTTGACCACAGCCGGATATGAAACAGCGGAATGCATTTTGCATTTGTCGCTGTATGACCATGGGCAAATGTACGTTCAACTGGGACGCAGAAAAGAAGGCCTTCAATTCACACAGTGAAGTACATTTATTGCTACTGACTTGTCTACAGAGTGCTTCCGTAGATATGAAAGATTGTATATACAAGGTATATACAAACGGTATATCCAACTCCTGTATAGAATTCAGTGTAGGAATTAGAATGGTGCACTGGTCACGACTGCAGACCTGGACGATCTTCGCTCGTGCACCGGGTGCATGTCGCCGGACCGTGAGATGACTTAAGCGGCCGGGGCGGCGATTTCGGAGGCCTGAGAAATCCGGGAGCGGGCCATCTCGACGAGAGACTCTGTTGACTTCGTGCAGGACGGGTAGCGCTCAAGGCACTGGCTGCGGTTGGCAGACTGCTGCCCAGCGATGGCAGCGTCGCGGTATGGCATCCATGGGGCGCTGGCGTCTTCCTGAGACAAAGCCCTGTAAAAATGGAGAACGGGGCAAGTGTCAAGCTCTATACTCATCCAGTAGATATGCTTGTTTGAATACTGTAAAGAAGTCACCTTACATGTGTTCTACCCTGTACATGTAGATCAATGCACGCACACATGTATGAAACGACCCTAGGCACAGCACGCTCTTGTATACGTGCAGCATAAGCTATCTTAGTCCTCGTTCACGTGCGCTGCTGATACAGGACTGCCCTTTAATGCCTTCGGGCCTTGAAATCAATCTCTTCAGTGTACTCACGTCATAACTCGGCCACGGTCTTTCCTTGCGGTCCAGCCAGGTTGGGCTCGGCTGCCACCTCGCAGACGACTCGCAGCACGCACCTTTCGGAGTCGTGTCCGCTCACGTATGCGAATATCTGCTTCAGCATAAGTGGTGTCATGTTTCCATTGGAGTCGAAGGCAGCGTTTGGAAGAGTCTGCTTCCCTGCGCCTGCGCAGTACAGAAGAATTGTATTATACAAATACCATTCATCGCGGCTCAGTTCACCGCCGTAAGCCGCGGAAATATCGAAAGGGCAACACACTTGCGCAGTTCGACGGCGCTCCTGGTGAATCCGTACCCGTACAGAGGGTGCCCGTACGAGAGAGAGCTGTCCCATCCCTTGGGCAGGGAGAGCTTCCATTGTTCAACGGGCAGGGGACGGGGTGCGATGCGCGGTGGGGCCGACTTGAAAACCTTCACGTTGGTAATGGCTGCGACAAATAAAGAGAGCAGTGGTGGTGAGTACACGCTGACAAGTATACCGGATAAAGACTTGATACCTGCCGCGATCATCTAGTAATTATTCGACAGCTAGCACGCAGGTTGCGGGATCAAATCTCGGCCGTGGCGGCCGCGTTTGGGGGGCGGATATGCTCAGGTCTTATCGGTGTACAGTGCCAGAGCGTGCCAAATAGCCACAGCGCGAACCAGAGGACGAACAACACAGGGGTATACTTAAGCGCTTGATCTGCGGGCTTAGGCTGTCCCTTTCAGTGGCGCGAATAGCAGTAACATTGGCGAATAACGAGATTGGCGAATAAGTCATTCGGGTACGTAGCCCTGTTGCAAGCGTCAACACATGGCATAAGGGCTTATGCTCTTAAGTGCCCGGTTGGTTTATGCGTTGCTGCCGAGTCGGCTGATGTACGCGAAGATGCGTAGATGCTACTCACAGGTAGGTACCACTGGCGGGAGGGGAATGGGCGGGGCAGCGACGACCGGTGGTGCTGCGACGACCGTTGGAGCGGCGACGACTTTCCCGGCGAGGACTGGGGCGGCAGCGAGCTTAGATTTGGCAGCCACCAACAATAGCCTTCACTCCCGCTTGGGCAACGGTTTGGGCAGCGACGGAGGTTACCTTAGCTTTGGCAGCCATGAGGCCCAAAGCGGAAACCTTCAGAGCAGCAGAGTTGGCTATGGCAGTCTGGAAAAAAGAGACGGAAAAGAGTGAGTCGTTGAGGACTAACAAGTGTCAGGCAAATTAATCCAAGCCGCCGTATTTTGCGACGTCCCAGTTACTTTTTGCGACGTCCCAGTTACCGTCCCAAATCAGCCTTGCGATCCTCCATACGTATTAATTTCCCATATATCAATCCGTTCGGTCAACGAGGAGTCCCCTCGTCGACCTGATCCTGACTCTTCTCACCCGCCCATCAGGTTACGGAAGGCCCACATATGCAACCACAGAGCTTTCTCTGTACAACTGCCTAACTGCACACACTAGTCGGGACAGCTATAGCGCAATGAGTCTTGCGCGCTTCTTGAGTGCGAACATATACAGCAACTGTACATCCAGTAGTCTTCCTAGGTTATGTCGAAACGACCAGTGCTACGCTCACAAACGTTACTTTTCTTCCTGCGTGGTTGAGGGCAATGCAACAATGCAGCGAAGTCGCGTTCTCACGAAGATGCAGCACCTCAAGATGACACGGTGAGGTCGCCTCCTCACCTTGAGACCAATAGCACCGAGTCCAGCGAGGCCTACACCGGCGACACCTCCGGTGGCGAAGCCCAATCCCAGCAGCGTGGCGCCCTTAATACCGACAGCTAGTGGCAGCACCCACGGCAGAGGTCCCACCATGGCCAGGGGCAGCGCCAGGGGGAACGGCAGCAGGTTTAAGGGAAAGACATTGGTCAAGGGAAACAGGCTGGGTAGCCAGCCAAACAGAGTGCTTGCCGACATGGTGGCCGACGCCACGTAGCTGCTGAAGAGCAGACCGAGAACAACTGTGGCCAGCTTCATGGTGTTGTTTGTCAGAGACCTGCAACGCAGCGACGAATGCAAGAACGTTGAGAATTCATGTGACATCCAACGCCAAACAGCAAGTGAACCGCGAGCGTAACGGCAGACTACTTCATAATCTCGCGGGAAAACTGGTTCCTTTCATTAGAGCGTACGCGAGATTATTTAATAAATGCATCTATGTCCGCAGAACGGCGCAGTGAGCCGTGCAAAAAAAAATAGTTATTACTTTATCTCTTCCAGCAATTGGGTCACCGGACAAATAAGGCGAAATCAAAATGTGGGCCTGGGAAGGGTCACCAATAGTTGCCACCAATAGTTACTAGAAGGACGAAAGTCTGAGCAGAATGACTTACCGAGTTCGTGCTAGTTCCCGACTGCGAGTTCCGCACGGAAGGTACCGCGCTTATATAAGCTATGGTGACGTGCATCCACCGTTCTAGGAACCAAAATGCTCCGCCCCCTTGTGACGTAGAGGAGGAAAGAAAGCATGCTTGCGCTAATCAGCGCTGTCACAGACTTCCAGAGAGAGACGGATTACGCTACCCTCGCTCCCCAGAACACACAAAAAAGTCACAAGTCCCTCTTTTGGATGTTGCGAGAGGGAACCTTTGGGGGAGAAAGGGCACGTAAGAGCACAGAAAGAAAGAGACGGTTATGGTCGCGGGATCGCCTTCCGTGCCTGCTGCCCTGGCCGATCATCCCTTCTTTCCTTATCCTTTATCCTTTCCTTCGCCCCCCCCCCGACTCCACCCCAAAGTGTTTACGCATGCCCCCCTGCTCAATTGCAGCAATTAGCGTCTTATTTCCATCTTCCTCTGCATTCACCATGTATTGTATACCAGCGGTGTCGCGGGAGTCAAAGCCCATCTCGCTCGGTTCTAGCTACACCCTTCATTGCTGCATGCCTTACAAATTGCACCCCGTAGACTCGCGTCTCTGGCCGGTTCGAGCAGTCAAGTGATGTCAAGCTAGCCGCAAGGGAAGACAATTCGCTGCCGCTGCAGTACGCTGTAGCTGCACACGCACAGCGGTACGGGGGGGAGCTAGTGAGATTAGAGGGGGGTTGGGAAGGAGAGGGCGAGACTTTTAGCTGGGCAGCGAACTGCGAGTGTATCAACGAATGATGGTATCGCTCTCCCTCTCTATCTCTCTCTCTATGTCTCAGTCTGCGTCTGTCGTCGCCCATCCTCTTCCTCAGTTTGGGCAGGAAGAGCATAGCAACGATGGTTTTGGGAATTTAACGCTCCGAAGCTTAGACGATGGATGCGACGCGCGCACCTGCATTCAATTCTTTGGGCAGCGCAGGGTCGGGGAAGGCATTGTGCCTTGTAGGGGCTCTCAGTTACAAGGAAAAAAATAGAAAATGAGCCTTACTTTGTTTGAAGTTTATTTATTTGTTTATTTTTTGCGGAGGGGAAGCTGTTGTACCGTGTACGGGCTCCAAGGTAATAGACAGAAAGAAGCATTCCTCTATTTTTGCTGTTTGTTTATTTTTCGCTGTGCACAGTTAAAGTAAAAAAAAAAGGCTGCGGCAAGTTTGTGTTAGATATGCCTACCAATTGAAACCTGGTGGTTTGATTTTGCTAGCATCTAACGAAGAAACAGACAGCTCGAACGATTCCCTCTTCGTTGTCTGAATCTACGCACAGACTGTGCTAGGAAAACCTGGGTCGTTCTTGCCTGCATCGAACCGAGACGCGCGACGGAATACATGAGACAACACCACAGTGTGCTTGCACTAACAACGTAAAATTTTATTCAGCAGGTTTCAGCCATAATGAAGCGAATTACAGAGAAGTGTGGCAGCTTGGGCTAGTTGGTATGACATTATGATAGTTATAGCGCGAGAACAGAACAAACACTCAGAGACAAGAAGGTCCTTTGTGTCCTCCTTGTCTCTGTGTGTTCGTTCTGTTCTCGCGCTATGACTATCATCATAAATTACGGAGCTTGTGGCACGAAATAAAACGCCGAGACAAATAAAGCATGAGCTAATTTTCAGAACATTGACGTAGACGGCGGGGAAGAGCCGGAGGGCTCAACCCTTTTTATCCTGAATTCTTTCGATTTCGTGTACACGTGCGTACATACACGCACGCAAGCACCCACCCCTACATCCCTGAAAACATTTTCTAGCAACACCGCTTCTCCGGAACACATCAGTAACAAGATTGCAAATAAAGGTACAACGAGGAAAACTTAACACCAAAAACAGGGTTTTGTAACTGATGAAGAATCAGTTATAATAGTTTACTACTTTTCGCATCTGGAACATGGCCAACTCGTACCTTGGAAGTGTGGTAGCTTGGGCTAGTTGGTGTGACGTGACGATAGTTACAGCGCGAGAACAGAACCAGGACACAGAGACAAGAAGGACACGAGCGCTCGTGCACTTCGTGTCCTTCTTGTTGCTTACGAAAAAGTTGCTTACGATTTAGAGCACAATGTACTCTACTATGGGAGAGCATAAAGCCGTCCCGCGGGCCTCACACTTGGTGATGCCATGGCGGCAAAAATCACGCCGTGTCTTGTCGATCAACACTGCTAAAACTGAATGCGGCACACAAGTTCTACTAAGTGGTTCTGAGAGAAAAAGGAAGAGAAAAGTGAGCCCCGTAACTGTCTGCTTCAGGGAGCGACACCTCAACAGTAGCTCACAGGAGATGGGGGTGAGGAGGGATTAAAAGGGTAGGAATAAAGGTGTAAAGAGAGAGAGAGAGAGAGAGAAACAGTATGCCTAGAGCAAGCGCGACGACATATCGAGGGTATGGGAAAGATAGAAAAGAATTGAGTACGTATATAGCGCTATGCAAGCATCCTTGTGTTCCTGGTTTCGTTAGAAAAGGTCACTTCAACGCCGCGGCTGATTTCTGGGTAACAACGCGAAACCTTTCAGGCAAAACAAACACTTGCGAGAATTCGAGCTAATATTTTGTAATAAGCCAAACAAGAAAATGAATCGAGCAAAAACATTTCATGCGTGATTTCGATGGCGAGCGGCATATTCGGTTCTAATCCTGTAGAATGAAGTCGCCGTTCAGCCAATCAACGTGCATGTAAGCCATGTAAATGAATATCATTTCTTGTTTCTTTTGTTTTTATGTTCCTCAGAGGTGTGGATTAGCGAAAACATGCCATGTCACGTTCGGGCAAGTTTCAATCGTTAGTAAAACTGTACAGGATGGAGGACAACAAGTTGCTGTATACCCATAACCAAGCGGAGGGGGTCATAGCTCTGCGCTTCCCCCAGCAGCGATGTAAGACGGATTTGCACCCCCCCCCCCCAACCTCCCAAAAAAAGAAAACTTGTCGACGCCAACGGCAAGCAAGCAGATATATAGACTTGCACGCTGTGCCAATAAATTTACTACAAAAAACATCCACTCATTCAATTCATAAGTTTGGTGCCGGCTGCGGCGGCTGAATTTACGATGGAGGCGGAAATGTTGTAAGACCATGTTTTCAGATTTGGGTGCACGTCAAAGAACTCCAGGCGGTCCAAATTTCCGGAACCCTCCACTACTGCGTCTCTCATAATCATATGGTGGTTTTGGGACGTCAAACCCCACATGTTAATCAACTCATATGTTAACCTATTTACCAACTCATATGTTTCCTCTATTGGTCTCTTAATAAAGAAATTTTTGTACAATTGTAATCCCAACCGCTTGCACCGATCTATTAGCGTAATAATAGCGGTATTACTGTATTATGCACTGCAGGTACGCGTTTATGTATTATGTATAAGTGTATATAGTTATATGTACGTGTACACATGTTCTCATACTTATTTTGATTATGAATTGCGAATTTTCCGGTCTTATAACTGCTTGTGATTAACCCCTGATACCCCTCCTGCATGTATTCTACCTTCAGGTCTACCGTGTCTTGTAAACGCATAATAATAATAATAATAATAATAATAATAATAATAATAATAATAATAATAATAATAATAATAATAATAATAATAATAATAATAATAATGTGTGTCTTATACACGAAGAAGGTTGAGCATCATCGGCATTGCGTCCAAGATATGGGCAGTGCATATCTCCGCAGCACGAGTCGCCAAAAACGTACAAGCGAACAAGGGAGACGTTCTTTACCTGCACGGAAGGAGTTTCCAGTCCGCTTCTGCGGCGTCGGTGCACGTGACTTGACATGTCGGGCTACTTGGCTCCGAGTAGAGCTGCGAACAAGCTTAGGGTTTCGATCACTGATTCCATTCGCTGCATTCCGCCATCAAGTGAAATTCGAATAAATCTTTGCGGCCATGCCATGTGAATGTGCACGAGAGTTTTGTAAAAGATGAGGCAATCTGCCGACAGTTCGTGCCAGTGACGGACATTTACTGTAATGAAGACGAAACGATCAGTCATTCTTTATTACATTGCCGCTGCTTCGATTTATTCGGGCAAAGCGTACTAGCACCACCTCTTAACTGGGCTTGCAGTTATCACAACCTGATTTTTCTTTAATTTGGAGCCTCTACACTGGGTTTCAGCCACAGGGATGTTTTATTCGCCGTTCAGAAATACATCACTGCGACTAAACGATTTTCTTGCTAAAATACGGTTTCACAGGTTTTTTTTCTTTTTTTCTGCAAATTTGCAATAGGCATTTCAAATCAGAATTAAATAACAAAAGTTTTTTTAGGAATGACGCAATGCTGGAAGTATCTGGCAAATTCCACCTTATAATCGGCCAATCCCCTCCTTTGTGTGCGAGCTATTTGCACAGGAAAACAACAACAACAACGACGGACGGAGCGTTTCGAGGAATGAACAGGTGCAAACAGAGTAGCCAAGAAGGAGGCGGTCCATCTATCTCTGTTTGGCCACACGAGCACTGCGAACTAGGGCCACTACTTATATTGCACGGAGTGTAAGTCGCGAGTTGGCTCCTGTGGATGCTGGTTCGCTAGTGGTTCGCTAGTGGGTACGAGCACCAAGTCGGGATAGTTGATTCGCATTCATTTCGAAGGCCTATTAACT